ATTACATTTAAAATTAATTGTGCATATATAAAAATGCAGCCACTTAACGAATATATATTTTATATGCTTAAATAGTACATTGTGTTCAATAATATAATAAATTCACGAGTAAATACGTATTTACTGTATATATCCTGAATGTTGATAGCATGCACATGCTAATTGTTTGCCAATTGTCATACAAACCAGATCTAAAACATTGAAGGGATCTTCAACTGATTCTGCCCAAATTTTATTTTGGCGCAAATAATTTTTTATATAAAAAAAAGCTTGTTCGATCTATAAAAAAATATAAAATAAATTTATAAAACTATTATATATTATATTATTATATATACTTACTGGATTAAAATCCGGTGAATAGGCTGGTAAAAATTCTAATCGAACTCCATTTTCTTCACAAAGATCGCGCAGATATTGGCTCTTATGTATAGATGCATTATCTAAAACCAATACACTGTTTTGTTCAGGAAATGGATTCATTTTTGGCAACTATAAATTTAAAATATACTTAATTAATACTATTCACATATATAGATTTTAATAAAAGAATTCTTACTAAAACATGTTCAATAAAATTTTCGTAATCATTAGAATTCATAGAACCCTCTTGAATACAATATGCTAAAAGACCATTAATACATAGTGCACCTTCTATAGTGAAACGCCTTCCTCGAACAAAAAATGTATATTTTTGAGCACGCAATCCTGAAAAATTCCAGCCATAACGACGTGACAATGTTCTTCTATCATAAGCGGTTTCATCTGAAAAAACCAACTGGCTTGATGTATATTGAGACATTCGTAAAATAAAATTGTTTCTATCAACTTCATTTCTTTCTTTCGCAAGTTTTGAAATCTATAGAATTAAAATGTTGATAAATTTATAAAAAAAAATCATCTATAAATATACAAAATATTACTTTTTTATGTGTATATCCAAGTCGATGTATGGCCCTCCAAATTGTTGTAAGACTTATTTTATATCCCAGCCAAAGTTCCATCTCGGATTGTAATTCATACAAATACCAGTCAGGTTTTTCCTTCATTAAAGCTTTAAGATATTTTATATCATTTGTGTTTAATGAGCGTGGTTTTCTTGGAAGTGACGGAAGTTTTTCAACGCATCCATAGTTTTGAAAGTGCTTGAGAACCCGACTTACAGAAGATATGCTAATACTTAAGTGTTCGGCAATTATTCGATATGATAGACCTTCTAAATTTTTTTCGACAATTTTCCAACGAAGCTGCGTTGAAAGTATCATATTTTGGATTCAACCAAAAATCCAATAATCGTATAATATTTATATTAGTCACCTGATTTTAAATTACGTAGATATATCAATTTATTGAATATATTATGCCGAAATCACAAACACAATCGAATCGGCCGTAACATCATTCGGTCAATTTTTATCAGGTGTTCCAGGAATAATGAAAATAGCTGTAAATCGGTTTTATAATATCTTAACTCGGTTGTATAATTCAGACAAACCGGCTTCTAAAACTTAAAACCGGTTTTACTTTATCCAGATTTCGAACACGCTATAAAATATACCTATCCCTAAATCTACTGCCTAAGTGACATAAGCAGTACGAAACTCTGTCCGGTTGATTCTCGAAGTACTGAGGACTTCCGTGGTTGTTACAGTCCAACTGTCTCGACGTAAGTGAAGCGAACCGTAAATTATAAAGAATATAAATAATCTAGGTTACTTTAAATCTATGGATATTTAACGGTTTAAAATAATCTGTGGATTATTTATATGCATAATATACTGAACATTCAACCTTCAACTCAGGAAAGCAAGATCACCAAAAAATGTCGAACGAAACACATCCCTCCGATAAAAAACGACTCCGATTATAACGGAATATGTGTCAAGTAGGATGATCAAAGTATTCTAATTTTTACAGTATAGTTTGCTACAGAACCCAATCGTTCAAAATAATAATTTGGAGTTAACATTAAATTTTAAAAAAAATCAAAATATTTTAGTTTCAAAAAATAGAAAATTGTATTGTTTTCTGAAATACCTTTGCATAAGCGAGTTTTTGTTGGCCCTTTATTGTTGGTTTTTAATTACCTGAAATTATATAACTCTAACCCTAAACCCTAACTTAACTATAAAAAAAAAAGCTGACAAAAAAGGTTATAAAAATTTTAGAAATCGTATATAACTGAGTTGAAATCAAATTACATGAAATAATTTTGGCAAAAATTTTTATAAAGCTGGCATTAATGGAATTCTTACCGAAACTGTGTACTTCAGCCAACAAAATTAATAAGCTTAAATAAAAAAAATTAGTCTTCAATGTTGTCATTTACACAAAGACCATACCATACTAATGTAAAATGCTATTCAGATAAAATAACACGTAAATGTATCAGATGAATTTATTAATAAACTTAATTACACAGGGACATAGAAGCTGGTAAGCTTAACTCAAGAGAATTTAAAAATTTCACATTTTGTATAAATAAGAATGGCAGAATTAGATTTCATTATAAAAAACAATATAAATAGTAATGATATATTGATTTAAAAGCCTTTTTAATAATATAACCTCTGTCAAAAATTTAAAATTCTTGTCTTGTTTAATAATTAGTATTATCCACAGATTAAACCTATTTAGCATCATTATCGGTGTTAAGATGGATCCTTACATTAAATGCCACTCATTCTCATCACAATTTTTTAGGTAGTATTTTCCTAGGCATCTAAGAGCATCATTTTGATGATGCGATTCACTTTTTGAAAGATCAAAATATGCCTAATCTATATTCATAACAACGAGCCAACTCAAATTTAGTGATAGCGAATTTTGTTGATCTAATTCGCTTTTAGAAAGTTCCAAAAAGAGCTCAACTGCCTTTTTTTGATTTTGAACCACCGCATTTAGATAGAATTTTGCCAACATAAGTTTTACAGAATTTTGTTGGTCTGAATCGCTTTTTGAAAGTTTCAAAGGCTTTTTTAGAGTCTTGGTTCACAACACCCTTCTTTCTAGAAAAATAAAACCATGTCAAGCATTCTTTAGCTTTAGTGGAATGAGTCTTAGTTTTTGAAAGTTCTAAATAGATATTAAAGACCTTTTTATAATCTTTTTTGACACCCAAATTCATAACAATAAGCTAGCTACATTTTGCTTATTAATTATTAATGTTACAGTGTTAATTTAGATATTATAAAATTATAAATATCACAAAAACAATATTATTACATTTATAATCTGATTTTTTGCTTCTACAAGTCGTAAAGGGTCATATACTGAGTCATTTAAAAGTTCGTACCATCCTAGATTTTTGGCACAATCTTCAATATATCTATCATATTTTACATATGAATTTTTACTTTGAGTTTTTTCAATTATGTTTATTAAGATTTTGAGATTGTTCTAAAAAATATAACGTATATATTAATCACTATTCTGCAATTTATATTTACTAGTTGTTAAATCTTATATATTTCAGTAATTAATAAATCAAATGTTTAAGCCCTGAAGAATTAGTGGCCTCACAATAAGAACAAATCCAACAAATTACGGTATATTAAAATAGGCCTCACCAAATAGTTTATTTTTATACCAATGATTTAAATTTGTTTCAGATATAATACAAAATTTGGTGGTGTTTAATTTCGAAACTATACGGTAACTACAACTCAGCTACTTCAATCGACTATCTGATGCAATAGTATTGTATTTCATGATTCTTGTTTGTTTAAAATAAATCTAAAATATTTATTATACAGTAAACAAGTTTTGAATAAACATTGTAAAGGAACAATTTTTCTAGTTATGTATAATTATTAAAAAAACATGTAATCACAAAGAAATGTCTTTCAAATTTGTTGCACCCAATCAATCACATTTATTTAAAAATTTTCACATAGTTAAAGAAAAAAAGTGATTTCCAAATTTGAATTTTACTAAAAAAAAGCATATTTGGGGTTGAGTCCCATAGCTTAGTTGTTAAGCTCTCATCTCATACAGACAAGGTCAACGGTTCGAGTCTGGCTGGAGGTAAATACTCTATAACCAAAAATGGAGCCTATAATCAGATACAAAGCCCTGTGAAAGTCCAAGTAAAGGTAAATATTTGATCTAAGGAATTTCTGGAAGGAAACCGATATGGCAGAGTGCAGGCACTACTATAGTGAGAAATGTGGAGAATGTCATCAATGTTTGTAGAAAGGATTGGTCTTACCTAATATGGAATCACTTCTGGTGCCATAAATCCAAATAGGTGTACAGTATAAAAATAACCATGATTAATAAAAATAAAAGACTACAACTAATCTTTAAAAATCACGATTAATAAAATTAAAAAGACATGCCTTTTTTTATAAAAGTCCATGATTGATTAAATTAAAATACCAT